ATATATGTTCTTGTTTGACTTTGGTGTCAAATTTTTAGGTGGAAAATTGAGACTGGGCATCAACCAGGAAGGTGTCGACTACTACAATAACCTAATCGATGAGCTTAAACGCAATGAAATTGAGCCATTTGTCACTTTGTGGCATTGGGATACTCCCAATGCCCTGGAAGAAGACTACTTGGGTTTTTTGGATAAACAAATCATGTAAGATAAAAGATATGAATCGAGTTTTTAAGAGTTTTTGGGCTTAATTATATAATTACAAATTGAATAAAAAATTGAATAAAAAATATTGGGTTATGTATATTTGCTTATCAGAGATGATTTCGCGGATTATGCGGAATTTTGCTTCTGGGAATTTGGTGATCGGGTTAAGCATTGGATCACATTGAATGAGCCCCATAGTTACGCTTCATCTGGTTACGGTTATGGTATTCACGCACCTGGTCGAGGAGGTGTGCAAGTTGACCCTGAACTCTTGGCTGGAAATAACCTTGGAACTCGTAGCAATGATATTGTCGCTCCAAGAACTTTCGACAATAAAGGTGTTGGGGATGCTGCCACTGAGCCCTATATTGTAGCACACAACTTACTCCTGGCTCATGCAACTGCTGCCGATATATACAAGAAAGGATTTCAGGTAATTAATATATATCCCGATCGAATTAAGTTTGATCTTCAATCTCTCATCTTGCTTATTGTTATTGGTTTTTGTGTCGGTTATTATAATTATTATACAGTGATGCAAGAATCAACAAATAAACATCCACAAATTAATAAAAACATATGAACAAGTAGAGGTATAATAACCAAGGCATGGATACACATTATAATAAAAGTTGTTAATTAATTATGAACTCGTCTTCAAACCTTCAGGAGAGCCAAGGTGGTGTGATTGGAATTACGTTGAACCAACAGTTTAACGAGCCATTAAATCAAAGGAATCTGGTAGACCAGATGGCAGCCGACAGAGCCATGGACTTTATTTTCGGATGGTGAGTCACGTCATGAAAAGGAAACACATTAACAATGAGAATCAACAAGTATACTGATTAAACCTTAAACATTTTTTCAGGTACATGGAGCCATTGTTTAGTGGTAAGTACCCGGACACAATGAGAGATCTTGTCAACGACCGTTTGCCTGAATTCATAAATAATGAACCCGAGCTACTGATGAACTCTTACGATTTTATTGGGTTGAATTACTATACTGCCCGATACGCAACCACTGCGGAACCAACTGATGTGGTATCCTACTTGACAGATAGCAATGTGCACCAAACTGAAGGTATATATATTAAATGATTAATCCAAGTCTCGGTTAAAAAAAAATTAGAACGATTGTGAACACATGCATGTTGGTAGTGGTTCGATGTTGGAAATACGTCTTGATATGTTTAACTTGATTTTGTTTTTATCAGTTGGCCTTAATGGGGAACTGATCGGTCCTGAGGTACGTATGATTGGTTTTGATATGAGTGTGGTGTTCTGAGTTTCTCAATTTACGATTAACTGATCAATGTAGGGAGGCGTTGATTGGTTTTTTTCCTATCCACTTGGAATTTACAAATCCCTGATGCAACTAAAAGATAAGTACGGAAACCCGTTGGTCTATATAACTGAAAATGGTAATCACTTTTGTTATTTTCGCCTTCTGATAATTAATTAATGGTTTCTTTGGTCGTAAATTAACTCAAAATAATACCGTGTCATTGTACCATTTCGGTAGGCTATGCTGATGCAATGGATAACAAACTGAAAATTGAAGAAGCTCGTATTGATAATGAACGTATTGTTTATTACAATACACATCTTCAAAATGTCCTAAGAGCAATTGGGTAAGGATAATTATACCATATTTAATGCATTTTATGCAAGTCCCATTACTCTTTTCTTTACTTTGCATGCATTATAATCAAACCTTGTTACACTGTTGTAGGGATGGCTGTAATGTGAAGGGGTACTTCGCATGGTCAATGATGGATAATTTTGAGTGGCACAAGGGATACTCTGTTCGTTTTGGTCTATTTTATGTTGATTATACTCATGGAAAATACACAAGGTACCCAAAGCACTCTGCAATATGGTTTAAGAAGTTTCTTAATCCACCTGCACAAGAAGAGAAGCTACGTGAAGGTGATGGAAATTAAGAAGTGTATTGCTTGAACACAAAGAAGTGAGTCGCAATCGGCACAGAAGAAAATAAATGCCCTAAGTGGTTTCTACTTTCATGAATAATAAGTGCCCGTGAATTATGTCTGTTTTATCGTTTTCGATTCCTTTCAAGAAATTATGTTTCGTCGGTTGGAAATGTCTATTGCTCCTTTTTATTTTAGGACGTGAAATGAATGTTGTCTTATATGTGAACTCTTACGTTAACAAACAAAAA